GGACACCTAGGTGCCCAGGCACCCGTTAAGAAATAGGTGTATATTTTATGCATTTTATATCCATCGGTAAGAAAATTAGTTTCCATATGTCTGTTTGTAATTCATACTCCATATGAACTTTCCAAAAATAATTGATGCATGTGAATTGAATATCTTGCTATGAAAGTTGAATGGCGTGGAATGTGCATTAATGGTCCATCTTTTTTGAAAAAACATACAGAAATTATACATGGTTTTGGAAAGGGTATAACATGGAAAGGGTATTGCCTTCCAAAAAATAGGGCTGTCATCAATGGTCAATCGTTTTTGGCGAAATTAAACCGAACTGATTTCCCGTCGGATACCTTCCAAAAATTTTGCAGGGCGTGTGTATTATGGAAATGGTATAACTAGGCAATGAAATACCTTCCAAAGATGGGCCTCTAATTAATGTAATTTTTTTGAAATAATGAAACCGAAATAATTCCCGCACGCAATGGCATGTATGGTAGCTGATAGGTAAAATATAAAGGATCACTACTAATATTTGCAAAAATCATTAATTGTTGAATGTTAGCCATTTTTCTAGTCTGGGTCATGTAGGTATATGTACATATAATTAGAAAGAATTCAGAAGTAATACTATCAAAAATAGTTGGGTATGACGTAATACTTTGTAAGCAGATTTTGCTTTGTTGAAGTTTATCAAATATCTTTTCCGTTGCCTTATCGTCCAGAAGCTTTAATCACATATTTACCTTTTAAGATATCGAGAAACATTGGGCATCTACAAACATGAGCAAGGTATGTCAATGGAGATAACAACAGATAGCAGGATGATACTCAGTCAGAACACACACATTAAACAGTTGGCAGAGAGGACGACACTAGATTAACACGACCATTGCTTAGTGTTATGCAAAAAACAAAATCAATGTGAAATCATAAATATCTTGGCACTGTTATTATTAAGGACGAACAGTACATGCTTCAATAAGATGAAGGAAATTTTGGAAGAAAACTAATACACTTGTACTGAAACGTATCAGGTATGTAAAGGAGGATCGCCACATGTGGAAATGTTATGGCCAGGAAGTTGGCACTTCTTGCAGACTTTATTAATCTTTGGCCTTGTCAAATTCTGTTTTGAGGACAACCAGTTCTGTAGTGTCCTTTCTCATGGCAGAATGAACATTTCCGTTGTTTACCTACACCACCTTCCGCAACAGATTTGAGCCTTGCTGTCCTCGGACGTCCTCGCTTCTTGCGTCGGTCAGGTGGAAGCACATCGTCATGCATTTGAGCTTCCAAGATGTCCTCGTCTTCCATTTCATTGGCGCACTCATCATCTGATTCTGTAGATAAATGTGTAGACGTTGTGTGGACTTGAGGTATAGCCATAGCATCTTCTTGGGTTGGCAGCAAACGGATCTCCTGTAAAGCTTCAGTAATTTTCCTCATTGCAACATGGTGCGCATCAACTGATGCATCACCTTTGGACGATAGGTCCATGCAAGCTTCGAATAACAGGGTACGCCGGTGAGTCCTCGAAGCAGCAGCATCCACATCGAATTTGCTTTTATTTCCTTCTCGGGCATTGCTCGTCCATCTTTTCTTGATGTATTTGTCTGGAAGAGTCCGGCACCCAATATGCATCATAACCTGAAACAAAAATAAATAATATAATTTGACTCTAATTTCCTTGGGAAAAGAAGACTAGTACTGAAAGGTTACATTGTTCATACCCTGATTATGTGTGAGCATAATATGCCCATGTGTTCAAATAATCTACAAATACATCTGTATTCCTCTTCATCTTCATTTACATGAACTGGAAACTCCAACTTACTCCAGTTTTCCCTCGTATCACAATCCATGTGAACAGTGATGTATGTGCCATCATCTCTGATTTCTTGGACAAAGTAAGATGCACTCATGTATACCTGGTCGCTGAACTTCGCAAACATGGTGTCCGTGTAAACTTTAGCAGCTTTTCTCTCTATTGGCGAACCACATCTCGGTTGCCTTGCATCCTGTGAATATGAGAAGTGTCAAATTAGTGAGTTATGGGTAATGAATCACGTTTAGAAAATGGAAAAGGTATATTTGTATTGTATTATAAATGTACCTTCGAAGTGTCGAACTCAAGTTTGTCCTCAGCCGCAATCCTATCCGCAATAAATTTATCGTATTGTTTAACAAAGTTATGCATGGTTGATGATGGTGAAACGTAGGCTTTGAGCACATGATTCATGCACTCACTGCGTTGCGTTGTCGTCATCTTTGTGAAGAAATAATCTTTGAAGTATGGTGGCGCCCAACGATCATGTTTATCCCACACATCTTGTAGCCAGGTGTTGCTATGGAGATCATACTCAGCAATAAGTGAGTTCCAAGCACCTTCAAACTCATCTATGGTCCTTGTATGATTAAGAACTCTATGGAATTTGTCTTTGAAATCAGATGTCTTGCTGTAAAGAGTAGGACCTATATGTTCTTTGGCTTTGTAAAAAATGTGCCATTTACACCACCTATGGATTGTGTTAGGGAATACAGCTTTGATGGCAAGTTCCATGGCCCTGTTTTGGTCTGTATTATTTGTAGAAAATAATTAGAATGTTTGAAGAAAAGAAAACAGGAAAGTGCTTTAAGGGTATGTGGAGAGTAAACCTGTGAGAATTCCAACTAGATGCTTATCTTCGACAGCTTTGAGAAAAGTACTAAACAACCACTTGAAGGCATCCTCTGATTCTTCTATAACCAGTGCGCAGCCAAAGATGATAGTCTGGAAGTGATTGTTTACACCCACAAAAGGAGCAAATGGCATACCATATATATTTGTTTGGTAGGTAGTATCAAATGTAACCACGTCACCAAAGTGCTTGTAACTAAGCCTAGACCAAGCATGCGACCAGAAAACATTTTTTATCTTGCCATCCTTTCCAACATCGACAGCATAAAAGAAATCTTTGCTTGATTTTTGCATTTCTACAAATAGCCGTAATGTCTTCTTGATGTCATCTGTATTTTCTTCAATTCGGATTGATTGTTTAACACTTTGAAAATACGTCCTAGTGTAAGGCAGCATCGATGCTCCTCCAGCAATCCCGGCTAAATATCCATACATTTGAGTTGTGGTGCTATTGTTTTCCATCATATCTTTCATAATGCATCTGGTGCCCTCACCGGTTTTGTTATGTGATTTCCAGTTGCGGGTCATACCTGTACTGGTTGTAAGGGGGTGATTGTGTTCTTGCCGGAGTTGTGTGATGATCCACTTATGTTCTTCATGTCTGTGTATGCGCATCATGGCACCGCAACCTCTCTTCACAGATTTTTGAACCCCCTTAGATGGCTTGCCCTGGGAAAGGAAAGACAAGACAATAGGAAAATTGAATGATCCCACAATCATGAATTAATTTAGTTTGAGTAATAAACGATAAGTAGTACATACCTCGCATGAGCATACAAATTCGATATAAGTAGTGTCACCAGCAACATTTTGGACTTGTTTACGAATTCTTATACCAAACCCTTTTCTCAACACATACATGTTATAAAACTGGAAGGCATCCGTGTCTTCATGGAATACCTGGCCTAAAAAAGGATCCATAATCGTTGCATCACAATATTCTGGTGGAATAGTAACCAGCGCAGTTCTGGAGTCATCACTAATTGTAGAATATAGAATGAGTCAATACTCAGTACAATATCTAGAACAAAAATGACTAATGTGTGCATTACATAGGGAAGACGGGTATAGTAGTATCAGAAATCACCTGCCACTGGTAGTCCTGCCTTGATTAGAACAATCCAGTGAAGAACATCCATCCGTGCCACCAGCGACATCTCCTTCAGAAGGAGTGGCCATTAGGTTGCGCTTCAGTCTATGGTGTTTCATTGTGAAATGGTGTGTCTGGGAAGGAGGGATTCTCCTTTTAAATACCCATACGTGAGATAGGAGACTCCACCAGCCATGATCAGTAACTGATTCGGGTTATTAACTCATAGTTATTGGTGTGATTCATTGCCAAATTACTAGGAATTAGTGATTTGTTGCATTCACTAGTAGTGGTTCAGCGTACAAGGCAGTGCACAAGCACTTGCTCAGCTTCCATATTTACGAAAGATTTTAGACTGCTTCTTAATTGCAAGACACCTAGTTAAAGAATCCTTGCTGA